TCCTTCTTCTCATCCTTCTCCTTCTTCTCATCCTTCTCCCTTCTCCTTCTTCTCATCCTTCTCCTTCTCCTTCTTCTCATCCTTCTCCTTCTCCTTCTTCTCATCCTTCTCCTTCTCCTTCTCCTTCTCCTTCTCCTTCCTCATCTCCAAGGGCATTTAAATTAAAGGTACAGTGTTCTGCACTAATTTAAAGGCTCTCTGAAGCCTAGAAACCCTTTTTATAAGTCATCTTCGTAGCGAAAAAATTCGCATCGAATCGAATTTCTTCCTGGAATTCGCCGAATCAGCCGAATCGAATTTTTGAATACTTCGCTCATCTCTAATTTTAATACTTAGGATTCTCACTAGTTTTGCCTTCAGTTTGTGTCGGTTTTGCTTCTCTTGGCTTTTCTCTTGTATTCGAGGAAAGGGCTATCTCTTACAACTGCACGTGACTACACGCTTCAGGTTCTTCCTCACTTGACTCAACCACGAAGGATTCTGGTGCTTTAGGAATTGGTAGCCCCTCTCCATGAGGAACTGGACGTATTGCCGATGGAATATTTGGATAGTGCACAGATAACTTTTTCTTCTTATTTAGCCCTTTTACAATTGGAGGCACCATACAAAAGTAACAATTACTAACATGATCTGTTGGCTCTCTCCAAATCATTGGCACAGCGAAAGGCATAGATGCCTTTTTTCCATTCAACCATTGCTCCAGTGCCGTCCCACAAGAAGTGCAGCATATATGTGGTGCCCAGCTCTTGTCCTGGTCTCCTATCTTGCAGCCAAAATACAAGTTGTAGGCTTTCTTAATCATTCCTGTTATCCTTCTTTTTTGTGAGATTAAAGTTATTTCACCGCAGATATAGCAGAAATTATCTGCTTTATTCACACAAGTTTGAGGCATTACTGAGTAGCCTATATAAGCATAAAACGAAATGTAAAGACGCTGTCGAACTACAATCAGCTACAGATACTGCAGCTTTTATGCAGTGAAGTGATGCAATTAAAGGCTAATATTGCATCATCTCAGTATACATGCAATTTTCTATTGGTCACCAGTATCAATTGCGCAATATGCAGCTGAAGTTGCATTATAATTTTGAATGGCTTACGTCATTAGATGGGTGAATATATCATGGAAACTAGAGCCAATCAACATTTTTTAGGGTCATTTTCGTTTTCAGCACCCCAAAATTATGTAAGATTAGCTAATTTTATGCCCAAAACTTTTTACCTGTTGAACAGTGTAACCATACCAGGGACTCTACCTGGTTGGCTCTAAATGGCAGTAAAAATTCATCCCTGCATTCGGGGGTACCAGATGAAACCAATCAGCACAAACCTGAATCAATGGCTGCACCTCAGAGAATTCTGTGCCCTGATCTACTAGGCAATGAGCAATCCGTATACATTCTAGTAGTTGATCCCTGGGATACTCCTTCAGAGTCTGATAAGCATATTCTCTGTCATCAAACACTAGCAGAGATAAATACACCACCTCATCAAGATCCATCCTTCCCAGCAACAAGCCAAGATGGCTTCCCTGTGCAGCCACTTCTGGTCAGGATTGGCCTTGGTGTAATGTCAGGGCTCCGGGTATGACCAGAGGTATGTGAACTGACGCAGGGAAACGCAGGCTTCAGATATGTGACAAACCACCCACAGATAATAATACATACAATGCAAGCGGCGTCAGGCAGGCCGGGTCAATAACAATCGGGCAGGTAGGAACAGGAGGAGCAGGCAGAGAGTAGTCAGGTCACGAGCCGGGTACAGTAACTAACGGGCAGGTAGGTACAGGGGGTCAGGCAGGGAATGGTCGGGGTCACAAGCCAGGGATCAAACAGGAGAAGTCAGCAGAGGTCCGGATCAGGCAGGGTCGGCAACGAATCAGTCAGACAGGAACAGGAACAGGGATGCAGGTAACAAGATACAGGGGCCCATAGGAAAACACACACCAAGGCACAGACTGCAGGTCTGGCCATCCCTTAAATACACCTGTAAATCAGCCTCAGGTGTCTTGGCTGACTACAGGGTTGAGTCTCTGATTGCTGGGAGCACCCGCTGGCCAGCCCTGGTACTGCAGCCCACAAGGCAGTTGAGTCCCACCATTACTGGCAAGTCCATTCCTGACAATCGGCTTACAATATTATGTACATCAGCATACATATGTTCCTGTCCATTGTGAGTGTCGTCCCCTCCCTTCTATGCCATACAAGGTATTAAGAATCTCTCGTTATGACACACTCATTCTGCATAAAAGGTCCATAAGGGACAGAGGATGGGAGCTCACACACACGCTAACACTGACACTCTGACACACACACATATATGTCTAGGACGTTCTGAGAAAATCCAACAGGTGCATGCTGCAAGACAAAGTTCGTCACTTCCATCTATTTCCGGTTTCTTCCCAAAAAGAGCATGAGAAGGACAAGAACATGAAAGACAGAACAGCACATGGCCGGACTTCAATAACTAAAAATGGTGACTTTTTCTTTAAACTTCTGCTTGATATTTCTACAGTAGTTTTATCTACATGGAACTGTTCATGATACGCTTTACATTGTTATTTTTACACCATTGTGTGATAGAATAAAATCACACTTCATTTTTTATTTCAATGGCTCTTTCATTCATAATCGCCTCAAGACACTAAAAGAAGTATTATAAGTGTCTAAAATCCAACATAACCTAAATCACATTGTGTGAACCTCTCAATATTGCCTCCTCAATAAGTTGTACAACCACTTTAAATCTGATATTTTCCAACACCCTTCTCTTGATGTAGAGTGGAGATCCAATCGATATAGAATTTGAGGTGAAATCAGAAGAAGAAGAGGCGTATGTGAGGGATGATCAGCAGTCTATGGAGGAGGATGGAATAACGGGGACATTTATAGAGGAGGACACTCCTACAGAGATCAGCACAGGTGGGTCATGAACACTAAATCCATTCCTCCACCCATACTGCTCACTGATTGGTCCAGAGTAGGGCGGGTTGATATTGTCCTGTAGTAAGGTTGGTGTCCTCCAGTGTTTCCTGGTGGGGATCACTCTCGGCCTCCTACTGCTGTAGAGCGTCTCCTGAACTCCAGTCACCCCTTAATCCCTACAACCCTGCACTGTGGATGCCACTAATCCGCATTCCAGGCCCTTCCTGCCTTGCACCGCACTTTTCCGTGCCTTTCCTTTCCTGGATTCTTTTCTCTGCTTCCTTGTACCAGTCCAGCTGTAGCCTGCACTCCCGGAGCCCACCGCCATCCAGCGTACAGACTGTACGGAGAGGCCACCATCTCCATCCATTCATGATTGGAGCTCAAACTGTTACATGGTGATAATGTGATCACATCCTCCAACCAGAAAGTGATAATGGGGGAGGAGCCAATAGTCCAATGATGGTGGTCTTCATGATAGGGGAGGAGCCAATACCCCAACGATGGTGGTCTTCAGGGTGGGGGAGGAGCCAATACCCCAATGATGGTGGTCTACATGATGGATGAGAGAGCCAATACCCCAATGATGGTGGTCTTCAGGGTCAGGATGAGGGAGGACCCTATACCCCAATTATGGTGGTCTTCAGGATGGGGGAGGAGCCAATACCCCAATTATGGTGGTCTTCAGGATGGGGGAGAAGCCAATAACCAAATGATGATGGTCTTCAGGATGGGGGAAGAGCCAATACCCCAATGATGGTGGTCTTCATGATGGGGGAGGAGCCAATACCCCAATGATGGTGGTCTTCATGATGGGGGAGGAGCCAATACCCAGATGATGGTGGTCTTCAGGATGGGGGAAGAGCCAATACCCCAAAGATGGTGGTCTTCAGGATAGGGGAGGAGCCAATACCCCAATGATGGTGGCCTTCATGATGGGGGAGGATCCAATACCCCAATGATGGTGGTCTTCATGTTGGAGGAGGAGCCAATACCCCAACGATGGTGGTCTTCAGGATGGGGGAGGAGCCAATACCCCAATGATGGTGGTCTTCATGGTGGAGGAAAAGCCAATACCCCAATGATGGTGGTCTTCAGGGTCAGGATGAGGGAGGAGTCTATACCCAATTATGGTGGTCTTCAGGATGGGGGAGGAGCCAATACCCCAATGATGGTGGTCTTCAGGATGGGGGAGGAGCCAATACCCCAGTGATGGTGATCTTCATGTTGGAGGAGCCAATACCCCAGTGATGGTGGTCTTAAGGGTCAGGATGAGGGTGGAGCCTATACCCCAATTATGGTGGTCTTCAGGATGGGGGAGGGAACCAATACCCCAATGATGGTGGTCTTCAGGATGGGGGAGGAGCCAATACCTCAACGATGGTGGTCTTCAGTATGGGGGAGGAGCCAATTACCAAATGCTTGTAGTCTTCAGGATCAGGTTGGGGAAGGAGTCAATACCCCAATGATGGTGGTCTTCAGGATCAGTCCACTCTTCATCTTGGTTGTTCTTCCCCCATCCTCACTCTCTGACCCTGGTGGGGCTCAGCCCCGCTGTTCTTCGTGACTAAATCATGGACTAAATAAGAAGTGCAGTACTTCTTGTGTTGGGAAGATGGCGATGGGGGATAGAGGGATCCCCTCATCACTGTCCCTCCTATAAAAGACAGTTCTGGTTGTTTCCTCACTCTCTGACTAAGGTCCATGAATAAAGAAATGACCTGGTAGGAGATCAGAGGAGCCATTTCCTAGTTCCCTTAAGGGTGGAATTGTAAGCTCCTCAGAGACCAAGCTGCCTGATGTGGGCGAGTCCTGGTTTGGGGGAACCAATCAGCTCCTGTCTAGTAATCCTCTTTGTCTTTGTATTTTAGTCCATGGCCGGGGAGATGAGGAAAACCTCCGAGGATTGTCTCACTTTGTCTCCAGACTGGAAAGTAGAAGATGAGGACATCACACAGAATCCAGAAGACCCACCACCTTGTATATCTTTGTGGTGCCCTATATTGTGAATGTACCATCGGATTCCTCGTACCCTGAGGAACCTCAGACTGTGCAGCACCGGGCCGTCCTTTCAACAGAGAAGAAGTTCTCCTGTACTGAGTGCGGGAAGCGTTTCCGTTATAACTCCCGTCTTAACGTTCATAAAAGGTCTCACACAGGTGAGAAGCCATTTTCCTGTCCTGAGTGCGGGAAATGTTTTTCAGATAAGTACTATCTTTATTATCCTCAAAGATTGCACACAGGTAAGCATCCGTATTCCTGCCCTATTTGCGGGAAATGTTTTTCAAGTAAGTCTCGTCTTTCCATACATCAGAGGCTGCACACGGGGGAGAAGCCTTTTTCCTGTCTTGAGTGCGGAAAATGTTTTGTACAAAAATCAGACCTTGTGAATCATCAGAGATCTCACACGGGGAGAAGCCGTATTTTTGTTCTGAGTGCGGGAAATGTTTTTCACAGAAGTCAAATCTTAACAGCCACCAAAGGTCTCACATAGGTGAGAAGCCGTATTCCTGCCCTGAGTGCGGAGAAAGTTTCGTACAAAAATCAGAGCTTGCCACACATCATCAAAGATCTCACACGGGGAGAAGCCGTTTTCCTGTCCTGAGTGCGGGGTAATGTTTTTTTCGAAGAAGTTCTATCTTTCCATACATAAAAGATCTCACACGAGGGATCCATGTCCTCAGGATGAGAATTGCCCATCACAGAAGTCCTCTGCTTACAGTCATCTGAGATTGGACACGAAGGAGAATGAACTTTCCTGGTCTGACTGAGGGAATTGTTCCTCACTGAAGACCTGAGTGCGGGAAATGTTTTTCAGAGAAGTCGAGTATTTTCCAAATATCAGAGATCACACACGGGGGAGAAGCCACGTCCCTGTCCTGAGTGCAGGAAATGTTCCTCTTTGAAGTCCCGTTTCCTGTACATCAGGGGCCCCACACAACCCTGGAGGTGTATTAGTGCCTTGAGTGCGGAAAATTGTTATAACAATGGAACACGTTGTGTATTGTACGCCAATCAATAATGACTCCGCCTCCACATTCCAGACTGGGGATCTTCCCAACCAATTGGATTTCTGCCTTTACTCTCTCCTGATTCTATGACTGCAATCTTGTCCAAAGTAAAATTCTAATAAAAACTTTATTGAATGAACAATTAATGGTGAGTGTCGGTGCGATGATGGAAAACTGCAGTACCTACACATTGCTCCTAGGTGGCGCTTTACAAGTCTTTACAGGTCATCAGTTTAGTGTTGATTGTGAATATTGGGTGTAGGATTATCGCTCTCATTCCAGCCTGGGAATATGTAACCTGCAGCACAACCGACGTCTTCATACAGCGGGGAAAATGAGGATTTGATCCCCTGCAGATTGTGTAGGTTCGCCCACTTACAGAGAAATGAAGGGTCTATAATTGTTATCATCGGTGTACAGGTGAAACTCAAAAAATGAGAATATGGTGCAAAAGTTCATTTATTTCAGTGCAGCAATTTAAAAGGTGAAACTAATATATGAGATAGACTCATTACATGCAAAGCAAGATAGTTCAAGCTGTGATTTGTCATCATTGTGATGATTATGGCTTACAGCTCATGAAAACCCCAAATCCACAATCTCATAAAATTAAATATTGTGAAAAGGTGCAATATTCTAGGCTCAAAGTGTCCCACTCTAATCAGCTAATTAAGCCATAACACCTGCAAAGGGTTCCTGAGCCTTTAAATGGTCTCTCATTCTGGTTCAGTAGGAATCACAATCATGGGAAAGACTGCTGACCTGACACCATCATTGACACCCTCCATAAGGAGGGAAAGCCTCAAAAGGTCATTGCAAAAGAAGTTGGATGTTCCCAAAGTGCTGTATCAAAGCACATTAATAGAACGTTATGTGGAAGGGAAAAGTGTGAAAGAAAAATGTGTACAAGCAGCAGGGATGACCGCAGCCTGGAGAGGATTGTCAGGAAAAGACCATTCAAAAGTGTTGGGGACTTTCACAAGGAGTGGACTGAGGCTGGAGTCAGTGCATCAAGAGCCACCACACACAGTCGGATCCTGAACATGGGCTTCAAACTTCGTATTCCTCTTGTCAAGCCGCTCCTGAACAGCAAACAACGTCAGAAGCATCTTAACCTGAGCTAAAGAAAAACAGACCTGGTCTGTTGCTCAGTGGTCCAAAGTCCTCTTTTCTGATGAGAGCAACTTTTGCATCTCATTTGGAAACCAAGGACCCAGAGTATGGAGGAAGAATGAAGAGAGGCACATACTGCAAGATGCTTGAAGTCCAGTGTGACGTTTCCACAGTCTGTGTTGATTTGGGGAGCCATGTCATCTGCTGGTGTTGGTCCACTGTGCTTCATTAAGTCCAGGGTCAATGCAGCTGTCTACCAGGAGATTTTGGAGCACTTCATGCTTCCTTCCACAGACAAGCTTTATGGGGATGCTGACTTCATTTTCCCAGCAGGACTTGGCACCTGCCCACACTACCAAAAGCACCAAAACCTGGTCCAGTCACCGTGGGATTACTGTGCTTGATTGGCCAGCACACTCGCCTGACCTGAACCCCATAGAGAATCTATGGGGCATTGCCAAGAGAAAGATGAGAGACATGAGGCCGAACAATGCAGAAGAGCTGAAGGCCACTATTGAAGCATCCTGGTTTTCCATAACACCTCAGCAGTGCCACAGGCTGATAGCTTCCATGCCACGCCGCATTGAGGCAGTAATTGCTGCAAAAGGGGCCCAAACCAAGTACTGAGTACATATGCATGCTTATACTTTTCAGAGGTCCGATATTATTCTATGTACAATTCTTGTTTTATTGATTGCATGTAATATTCTCATTTTCTGAGATTGTGGATTTGGGGTTTTCATGAGCTGTAAGCCATAATCATCGCAATAATGACAAATCACGGCTTGAACTATCTTGCTTTGCATGTAATGAGTCTATCTCATATATTAGTTTCACCTTTTAAGTTGCTGCACTGAAATAAATGAACTTTTGCACCATATTCTTATTTTTCGAGTTTCACCTGTGTATAAATGATAGAGACAGAATATCAACCAAAAATCCCTTATGACTAAGTCGATGAGGAAACGCGTCAAGGGAAGTGAAGTCAAGACGCACACGGGAACCGGAACCGGAAGTTGACCGGCGGTTATTTTGGATGAGGGAAAGACCATCTAATTTTCCCTGGGCACTTCCTGGATGACAGCAAGGCTATTTCATGGTATTTTAGGCATTTTTCAAGTTGGCAAAATGTAAGCATTCTGATTAAAGGTCAATTTTATGGTATATCTTGGCGGTATTACACTATTTTTCCCTTATATGTTTACATTCATATGGAACATGTTTGATGGGGACATATGGGCCCTGATTTACTATTGTGCCTGGGCGCATATTCGTGGGCGAACGTCCAATTTTTATGAGCGACCGTCTACTTTTACCCCGCTAAGAGATTTACTATTGAGCAGCGTCCATAAGTAGACGCCCAATCGAATTTACTAACGAGACACATGCCCGGAATCAGACTCACAAAGCAGACTTGCTAAGAAGCACGTCTAACACCATGTAAAAACACTGCAGAGACATGTTCACTTAGAAATTTGCTTTGCCAAATATCAGGACTTCATTTTAAACAATATCTGCCATTTCAAAAAAAATTAAGAATGTGTTAAAAATTGTTTTTTTAAAGCAAATCAACACAGTAAAAAACTAGACGCCCGTGCAGTGTCTTTGGCCGATATAAATGTGCATGTGCAGAACACATTTTAGACGTCCTCTGTGGGTGCTTACTTTTTAGCCACTGCTCAATAGTAAATCTCAGGGCTGCATGCTCGGATAAGGGTCTGGTATGGATATTGAGGGGGACCCACGCTGTTTTTTTTTTTAAAAATTTCAGCGTGGAGTTCACCCTTAATATTCATACCAGACCTGAAGGGCTTGGTATGGATGAGAGGGGGGGACCCACGCTGTTTTTTTTTTTTTTTTTCTATTGAGGACCTTTATTTTTACATTCAGCTGTCAAAATAAATATTATCTAGACCTTCGAAATAAGTAAAATCATTACAAAAATAATTATAAAGGATAAGAAACAAAAATAGAATCACTAGAACTAAGGAAATCAAATTAGAATACATAAAGATATGCTTAGTGCTGTTTATTAAACACAGTAGACGTGACCGAGTGTCGGCTGTCAGAGGAATCCACACTGAGATTTACTATTGAGCAGTGGCTAAAAGGTAAGCGCCCACAGAGGATGTCTAAAATGTGTTCTGCACATGCTCAGTTATATCGGCCAAAGACACTGCACGGGCGTCTAGTTTTTTACTGTGTTGATTTGCTTTAAAAAAACAATTTTTAACACATTCTTAATTTTTTTTGAAATGGCAGATATTGTTTAAAATGAAGTCCTGATATTTGGCAAAGCAAATTTCTAAGTGAAACATGTCTCTGCAGTGATTTTTCATGGTGTTAGACGTGCTTCTTAGCAAGTCTGCTTTGTGAGTCTGATTCCGGGCGTGTGTCTCGTTAGTAAATTCGATTGGGCGTCTACTTATGGACGCTGCTCAATAGTAAATCTCTTAGCGGGGTAAAAGTAGACGGTCGCTCATAAAAATTGGACGTTCGCCCACGAATATGCGCCCAGGCACAATAGTAAATCAGGGCCCACGGGTCTGTTAGATCAGCTGTTCACTGGTCTCCCACCCCTCTGCATGGCAACATCTACCAAGCCGGTTCCAGGCCCACGAGTGGGATAACAGAACCTGGGAAATGTAGGGGGTTGTGACCCAAAGGAGAAAGAACTCCTTATATCAGTGGTCAGTGTAGTGGTCCCTTACATTGGTGATCGATGGGAGAAGGACCCCCTTATATCGTGGTCGGTGTAGTGGTCCCTTACATTGGTGACCAATGGGAGAAGGACCCCCTTATATCAGTGGTCAGTGGGGGAAGGACATTCCTACATCTTCATCAGTGGGAAGACTGCCCCCCTTACAGATCATTGATGTCAGTTGTTACTGAGAGACAGAAATTGTTCATTGCTGGAGGAAACCTAGAACCCTTTGGAGGAACCCTGTCTGAGAAAGGCTGGACTAGGCAGTCATATATTTCTGTCCCCCTTGGTGGGAATGGAGGTGACCCCTCTATGAGGACATACAGGCCATACACACACAGCACACAAGGCCGGGGTCACACTACCAGACGGTTTCTCGGGGCTGCAGTTCCTCTGAGCTCCACAAGGTGGGGATCTCACTTCTACCCAGACAGGAAGTCTCTATGGAAGACAGGAAGTGATGTCAGCTACAGACAGGAAGTGATGTCAGGTATAACTGGGAAGTTGCTGGTGAGAGGCGAGTTGGGAGGAAGTAGAGAGGAGACATTGCTGGAAGTGGCAGCAGAGGAGGTAATAAGATCCGATTTTATATTTACACCCAGTAACCCCCCGTCACGCCCGTCCTCTTCCTCCACCGTCACGTCCGTCGTCTTCCCCCACGGTCAC